CGTGACGGGTAGTAGTTGATACTTAATTGTTGAGTAATTGGGGTGAGGCTGGGTATTGGAGAGAAGCAGTTGGAAGGTAACAGTTAGTCACTGTACATAGTTTTTTACAGTGTGGTAACTAACTGTGCATATCTAGTTCGAGGTCAGTTCTAAAGCCTGTGTAAGTTGCACGTGTGCTATAAGTTGCACGTGTGCTACAATTAGAGACTGTTTTTTATTAAACGTGCAGTTTCTAAAAATTAGAACTTGAGGGATATTTTACAGTGACTGGGAGATACTACCCACTAACAGTAACTGTGGGTTGTAAACTGTATCTGTGTTGTAAAGTCAGTGTAAAACGTGTAAGGATCCTCGTTTTTTCTCTAAAACTTGACTGGATAGCTAAAATACTCAATAAGATGCCAGCAATATCTCTCCTCTTATATACCAGATATCCTAACCTGTAAATTCAGTGCACAAATCCACGGTAATCCTCTTCCCATTCACAACCGCTCTGGTGACGTCACTTCTCTGGTGACGTCACTGCTCTGGTGAGGTCATATCTACGTATCCAGTCCTGATGATACTGCTCAGTATGGTTTGAGATATTATTATGTAACGGTTCACTGGCTCACTGTGTATGTTTAACAAATTATAACATTATTAAAGTAACCATGAAGTAAGGTTACAGTTATATCTTCGTCTTTCTACCAGACGTGATAATTTTAAAAGTTGCTTATAAATACTAAATTTAGACATGCATTAAATTTAGAAAATGTAAACAAGATGATAATTTTCTAGCGTTGCTGCCAGAATTCTGAACATGTCACCATTGTCACTGCTTCACTCATATTATATGTTACATTATATATATATTAGTGAATATTATGTAATATCTAGTAAAGCAATAAATATTCTGAAACCACGGTTATTTTCTTTAAATCAGATATTTATTTCCGCGACTGAGTGTCAGATAAAAATAGAAGATGGGAAATCTAAACGGTTTCTACCTAACCGGGATTGTGCACGATGTAAGTCGCAGGACGTGTTGTAATAGAAGTTTGAACTGCAGTCTGCACAGTGCACACTGCACAGAACACTGCACAATAATGTGCTCAATGAATATTGAATATAACAGATTAGGTGGGACAACGTTTTGCCTCGATAGAATTACATTAAAGTTAGATTACGATGAGCGAACATAAAATTGAGAAATGAGATTATCTCAGACTACAGATCAATCTCCTCTCTATTATCAGGTCTATTTCTCTATTGTACGTGGTGGACTAAATATTAGAGATTAACGTTGAAATGGTTTGCCTGTTCCTTACATACATACTGCTCCTTTATAAACATTGTTCCTTAAATCCTTACATACATGTACTGAAATATCACATAACACATGTTATTACTCGAGATAAAATGTATGGCAGGAAAACGGAAAACGATTTCCTCATAACATCATATTGTCTTCATCAATCAGCGCGGCGGTTGTATTTCAGTACATTTTAAATATTTTTTAAAATATTCTACAAACTGGCTGTATCCAATCTTGCTTGGACTATTGAAGTATGGATTGTACTAACATTGAAGTATTGAAGTGTTTTTGGCAGGGTGAGGTGTCCTCTGTCTACAAGTACAAAAGTGATATTATAAAGGAGTATTATAGCATTACAGTATCACACTGTTATAGTAGGCTGTCACTTGCGTGCTATAGTGAGACTATAAACATATATTTGTTATTTAGCGAAGTGGATAAAGGACTCATTAATTACACATAAATGACAGACTCATTACCGACATATTTCATACCAATTACATTCGAATTATAATGTAAACATTTTTAGCACACGCATGGAATTGAATAAAATTTTAAATCAATTATCATAATATAATGGATATTTTTAACTGCGTTGCAGATTTCTTCCTGCAACTCGTCAATTACACCTCCATAACGTGCCCCCCTACGAAACCCTACATATTGGACTTGTCAGTGTGAAATATACACTATAATACATGAGCAGACTACCTATCCCTCTAATTACTGCTTGCGAAATGCGACCTTAAGTGAGAGTATCTCAGCTCTGACACGAATAAAGTTTGTCTAGTTCCTCACGAACTCTACCCGGACTCTACCGAACTCAACCGGACTCTACCGAACTCTAACGGACTCTACCGAACTCAACCGAACTCAACCGGACTCAACCGGACTCAACCGAACTCTACCGAACTCAACCGGACTCAACCGGACTCTACCGAACTCAACCGGATTCTACCGAACTCAACCGGACTCTACCGAACTCTAAAAACCGGTATCTTCATATTAGTTGTACTCAAGATGGGCGTAAGATGGGTTTCCAGGATTTCAGGATTGCTTTGTAGGTCAGTATTTTATCTTAATAAGTAAATAATGAGAAAGAAACAGTTTCTATTTTAGGATAAATTCATCTGTTAAGTGCATCTTGGTCTATTTACTTTTGCTATTTAATCTGAGTAGTATAAGTTATAAAATTCCGCAATTCCAGACGTTATTATCACTAATTATTACTAATTATACTGAATTCTAGACATTATTTGGACCGTTATAATATTTAAGACAATGGTTTAAGTTATAGACACCAGCAATCAGCATGTCAAATAGCGCTATTTTGGACTATCACTGGTATGGTAGCCTTAATATAAGAAAACAATCAAGGTATGTTAAAGGTATGTTAAAGGTATGTTAAAGGTATGTTAAAGGTATGTTAAAGGTATATTAAAGTTATGTTAAAGGTATGTTAAAGGCATGTTAAAGGTATGTTAAAGGTATGTTAAAGGTATGTTAAAGGTATGTAAAAGGTATGTAAAAGGTATGTTAAAGGTAAGTTAAAGGTATGTTAAAGGTATGCTAAAGGTATTTTAAAGGTACGTTAAATGTATGTTAAAGGTATGTTAAAGGTATGGTAAAGGTATGTTTCAAGTTTCAATCCGTATCATAAATAAGGTATGTTACAGAGTGTACACAATGCAGGAAGAAACTATCCACTTCAATCTAATTACTGCTTGTGAAATGTGAGCCAATGTGAGTTCTGACACAACTACACTTTGTCTAGTTTCTCACGAACTATCTTGTTGAACCGGAGAGCAGGCTGATGATTTGACAGATAAGGAACGGATTTAAGACGGGCTGATCTATAGAGCAGGGTGGACACCTGACAGTGTTTGATTTGTCAGTAGTGGACGCTCATTGGTTTATTACAGTCACTTTACCTCCCCACCAAAGTTCACATATCTACAGAACTGATTGTTTTCATAAGGGTCAATAAATACATATTCTACGATCTCTCATGGTTACCCGTTACCTAGGTAAATAACCTAAGTTGTCCGGTAGCCTCTACACGTCTTGCTTGTTAATCTGTACACAACACTCCGGTACTCTTGAATACCAAATACCAGCGACGGTTGAAATAGTTGACACCAACATGTTTATTGTTGAACATCGAGGATGAAAATACAAACTATTTTGTCCCTCCAAGCATGCTGCCGATGTTTATCATTTAAGTAGTAGGTACTGCACGGTAAAAACTATGAAACCAAGGATAGTAACACCTGTTACAATTCCAGCATTCTTTCACACAATATCACACAGAATATCACACATAATTTATACCGCTAATATAGCGTGACAGTGTCACTCACACCGACATATTGTGCTTATGAAGGAGCTTAAGTACGTTGCCATGGTGATCCATGTTTAACGGCGCGGAATGCGGATGCAAATATGCAATTATAAATTGATTTTTTGCCCACCAAGCACCGCAAACATTGTTAAGTTTATCTCTAAAATCACGTACTAAAAATGTGGACAACAGTACAGAGTATAATATCATTTGTTCGAACAATACTGATACGAAAGAGACCAACTAAACAGGGAAACAGCCAGGGTGAGCATTTTACACCATATCATTATAATACAGAGTTTATATCACAGATACGCCCTGAGTTGGGAGGGATATTATGTACCTGCTTTTCTACTTGGTACAGCAAGTACAGACAACTAGGTATAATATCAGCTCTAACACGTCTTGTACAACGTGGACAGTGTCAGTTATACTGATTGTAATTGTTTCGTATTAATTTGCTGTTAGGCCGTATGTCAACTCAAGGTAATATTTATGAAGGAGCTGAAGGTAACAAGGTAACATGGTGAATGTCACTCCGTGGGAGTCTAGACTTTAGGGGCCACCATTTTATTCCTGGACTGTGTTACCATGGTAACGAGTACGTTGCCATGGTAACAGGAGGTTATATTGATAGGTTGTAGTTGAGAACGTTATATTACATGATATTATGTACTGTGTAAAAACATGCTCATCGTTTTCAGCAGCTTAAGTAGCAATACACTACTGGTAACCAGTAACTGGTAACTGGTAACTGTCTATCCGGATGTTACTTGACGAGATGAGTATCTAGAATACTATTACACACTTATTTTGGTGATAGTTTCTGGTGACCCCTTTATTTTCCTATATTGCTGTCAAGTGAACTGTTCTATATTGCTGTCAAGTGGACTATTCTATATTGCTGTCAAGTGAACTGTTGAGAACACTGAGAGTTACACGCTCAATTGTAATCCCATTTTTATAATGTACATTTTCATTGGATTTGGATATTTTGTAATTCAGTCTTAATCGCTAACTGTAACCAACAACACTAAACCTTCATAGTTCTCTGAATAGCGGCCGCTCAATCTGACAAATATTATTTTTCCAAATTAGATCTAACAACTTCAAGATTTAAATAATCTATAAATATTTCTTTCACGTCTTGGTCAAGGCGTGTACAAGTATTTCAGCGAATTTTGTTATTATGAAAAATTATGTACTTTTTGTAACATTTTAAAAGTAGATTCATATTTTTAAAAGCTCCTTACCAGAATAAAGATTTTTTTGAAAAAAAAATTAAATATATAAATGGTATTACAGGTTATTATATAGTTATATGATATGTGTAATATTATCATAGCAAAACTAAAAACTTACCAGAATTAAGATCGGTCTCATGATAAGGCCCCATGTTCCAGACTAGCCCGTTTTTAAACCACTGTTTAGCAGGCCTGTCTCCACCCCCATCCAGTGTAGTATCACATGATAGGGTAAGAGGAGGCGTGTCTCTGTCTGTGTAGTACATTATCGGGGCTGTCACTGTGTCGTCAAATGTTACAGAGTCTGAGGGAAGAAAGATGGGGTTAGTGAGAAGGACACAGGGACACTTCACCCCCAACACAGGGACACTTCGCCCCCAACACAGGGTGACTTCACCCCCAACACAGGGACACTTCACCCCCAACACAGGGACACTTCACTACCAACACAGGGACACTTCACCCCCAACACAGGGACACTTCACCCCCAACACAGGGACACTTCGCCCCCAACACAGGGACACTTCGCCCCCAACACAGGGACACTTCACCCCCAACACAGGGACACTTCGCCCCCAACACAGGGACACTTCACTACCAACACAGGGACACTTCACCCCCAACACAGGGACACTTCACCCCCAACACAGGGACACTTCACCCCCAACACAGGGACACTTCACCCCCAACACAGGGACACTTCACCCCCAACACAGGGACACTTCACTACCAACACGGACACTTCACCCCCAACACAGGGACACTTCACCCCCAACACAGGGACACTTCACCCCCAACACAGGGACACTTCACCCCCAACACAGGGACACTTCACCCCCAACACAGGGACACTTCACCCCCAACACAGGGACACTTCACCCCCAACACAGGGACACTTCACCCCCAATACAGGGACACTTCACCCCCAACACAGGGACACTTCACCCCCAACACAGGGACACTTCGCCCCAAACACAGGGACACTTCACCCCCAATACAGGGACACTTCACCCCCAACACAGGGACACTTCACCCCCAACACAGGGACACTTCGCCCCAAACACAGGGACACTTCGCCCCCAATACAGGGACACTTCACCCCCAACACAGGGACACTTCACCCCCAACACAGGGACACTTCACCCCCAACACAGGGACACTTCACCCCCAACACAGGGACACTTCACCCCCAACACAGGGACACTTCACCCCCAACACAGGGACACTTCACCCCCAACACAGGGACACTTCACTACCAACACGGACACTTCACCCCCAACACAGGGACACTTCACCCCCAACACAGGGACACTTCACCCCCAACACAGGGACACTTCACCCCAAACACAGGGACACTTCGCCCCCAACACAGGGACACTTCGCCCCCAACACAGGGACACTTCACCCCCAACACAGGGACACTTCGCCCCCAACACAGGGACACTTCGCCCCCAAACCCACTTCACCCCCAACACAGGGACACTTCGCCCCCAACACAGGGACACTTCACCCCCAACACAGGGACACTTCACCCCCAACACAGGGACACTTCACCCCCAACACAGGGACACTTCGCCCCCAACACAGGGACACTTCACTACCAACACGGACACTTCACCCCCAACACAGGGACACTTCACCCCCAACACAGGGACACTTCACCCCCAACACAGGGACACTTCACCCCCAACACAGGGACACTTCACCCCCAACACAGGGACACTTCACCCCCAACACAGGGACACTTCACCCCCAACACAGGGACACTTCACCCCCAATACAGGGACACTTCACCCCCAACACAGGGACACTTCACCCCCAACACAGGGACACTTCGCCCCAAACACAGGGACACTTCACCCCCAATACAGGGACACTTCACCCCCAACAAAGGGACACTTCACCCCCAACACAGGGACACTTCGCCCCAAACACAGGGACACTTCGCCCCCAATACAGGGACACTTCACCCCCAACACAGGGACACTTCACCCCCAACACAGGGACACTTCACCCCCAACACAGGGACACTTCACCCCCAACACAGGGACACTTCACCCCCAACACAGGGACACTTCACCCCCAACACAGGGACACTTCACCCCCAACACAGGGACACTTCACTACCAACACGGACACTTCACCCCCAACACAGGGACACTTCACCCCCAACACAGGGACACTTCACCCCCAACACAGGGACACTTCACCCCAAACACAGGGACACTTCGCCCCCAACACAGGGACACTTCGCCCCCAACACAGGGACACTTCACCCCCAACACAGGGACACTTCGCCCCCAACACAGGGACACTTCGCCCCCAAACCCACTTCACCCCCAACACAGGGACACTTCGCCCCCAAACCCACTTCACCCCCAACACAGGGACACTTCGCCCCCAAACCCACTTCGCTCCCAACCGTGCCAAATCGGACTATCTATCGTTTCACTACAGATATCGCCCCCCTCCCCCCCCCCCCCCCCCCCCCCTCCTGCCGAAATTCCTGGCTACACCCTTGACCGCCAATCCCCTGATTTTAAAACCTATAAAGCGACGAGCAGACAAACAGACAAACAGACAAAGTAACAAACAGACAGAGTGGCTTACCGACACTGTTGATAAGGGGCTCAACAACTACAAGTTTAGCCGTGTAGTAACTGTTCCCCACTTGACACACAGCGTAGTAGTCATTGGGTGTACTAGTCAGTGAGGCGGGAACTGTCACCAATCTGGGAATAGAATTAATTAATCAACCAATAAGCTGATTATAGTTATGGTACTGATAATGGATGTTACCCATCATTTTACAGGGATGCAGATGGACCAAGTTTTGCTGTTGCTGCCAAACAGTTTTTAACGTTAGTAGTCAAGATGAAGAGTTAACTCAGATGGAAACTGGGCAGTTATTCATGTTCAACAGCTGATCATTCCTTCCCATCACATTTCAACATGTTCAACAGTTGGTCATTCCTTCCCATCACATTTCAACATGTTCAAAAGCTGGTCATTCCTTCCCATCACATTTCAACATATTGAACAAATATACTATATCTCATCATTCAGAGAGGATAAATTACACAGATTTAATGCGTGCACAAAAATCAAGCCTAACTCAGAACTTCGCAGCAAGGTTAAGAGCCGCCTTTGGTTAGAAATTGAGGTTTAGAGTGAAAACTCAGATACGACATGGTATAAGGAGGACCATATTTTAGATCTTAGATTAATAATTATCAACTGATAGATTATTATTAATGATTCAAATGACAATTTCTATCAATTAACTTACATCTCCAATTTCTTGACAAAATAAAATCAGCAACTGAATATTAATCATTCCCAATCACAGCCAAACATACATTTAAAACAAAACTAAGATAACACAAATTAATTCACTATCACTGACAACTACAATAATGATTACTATAATACGGTAATCCCTCAATTCACCTGGCATATAATATTTTGTAAAGGTAGTATCGTTTCCAAATAGTCTCAGTTTTTCTCCCAAAACGGTTGGTAATTCGAGGGTTTATCGTATAAACGGAAATATCACATTTGATATTGAATATTGAATATCACAACAGAACAACAACAGACGTAAGATAAGAATATCACGTCACTTTACCGATAAGATTACATTCCCAACAACTTACATGGATGAAGTCCCTTTACTGGAGATAAGATGTTGTTACTTTATTGTTTTTATGGTAACACAATATGTTTCCACTTTTTAATTGTTACATTTACCGAAGAAATACGTTTTCTTTTGGCATCCAAAATGCTTATTTTCGCATTCGTTTATTGTGGAGTAAGCAGCGAACCTATCACTCTACAATATTCACAGACATGAATTTCATAGCACCGACACTTTGCAACAATTTGTTTTCGTAAGTGACGTCATAACAACACGTGACGTCATCACACCACGTGACGTTATCGCACCACTTGACTTCACACACCACTAGAAACATTATACCTACAGTTTATACCTACGCAAGGTCCGGTATCTATCGTATCCAGATTCATATTGAGAATGAGAATTGAGTAAGCTGTACCTCCATTTACTGAACACACAGCCGATAAAATAATATTACACGTCATATATGTAACAATTTCTTCATAATATGTTACAATTACTTCATTATATATTTGAAAGCTTTCTATATTAAAGTCATTATTGTAACGTTATTATATAACAAAACACTTATTCTGAAGAAGAACACTTATTCTGAGGAAGAACACTCATGCTAGAACAGCTCACACACCATTGCACGTGACGTCACACACCACTGCACGTGACGTCACACACCATTGCACGTGACGTCACACACCACTTCACTTACCAGACATTAAACCTGGCACACACCAAACTCTTAAATCTCAATCTCATATTCTTTAACCCACATGTAAGACACAAGGGTGCTTTCACCGTTTCTCGATATTATGGTACCAACAATTATCATAAAACAGCTAAACAGGAAGATCATTGTCATATTTACCGTTGGGATTTCTCAGATGGCAAAAATAGTGAAATCAGATATTTTCGATATTTCTGTCAATGTACAGACTGTCAATCCTCAAATGGTCTACAATATTTTTCGGCCAAACTTCATGCACGATCAACCTCACGTTAACATGACAATGATCCCCCATCTCATCACGTGATTAAGCACGTGACTTACAATGCACGTGGGCGGTTACCCAGGTGACTTACAATGCACGTGGGCGGTTACCCACGTGACACATACCTGGTAGCAGGGCCCAGCACGCCAGGCAGAGTAGGTGACACAGTCAGGAACTTTGTTGTAGGGGCAGGATTACCTATACCCCCACAAAACAGGTACCCTGCTTCTCCTACGTTCACTTTTAGTTCGGATACTATTACTTCCTGGGAGCTGAACTCTCCAATATCACCACCTGGGGTTAAAGGAGGTTTAAGGAGGTTTTTAAGGTGGAAATTTGGTGAACACAAATGAGGTAAATACGTGGTTAGTAATAGTAACTAATGGTTACTAACAGTTACTAATGGTTACTAATGGTTACTAATGGTTACTAATGGTGACTGATCGATGAATTTGGTTACAAGGTGAGGAGAATGAGATGGCGAATGTTAAAATAGTTAATTAAATAATAAAGTAAAGTTCAGACTTGAAGGTTATCGCGGAGGCATAAATGCCTTGGATCTCCGGATCAAAGGCGTAATTACTAATTACGGCCGTCCCTGATACCCCTGCTATCCAGTGGGGTTATGTCAAGGAACGCCATTTCAGCTTGATACTATGAGAGCACGAGTATGTAAGTAATGAGTATTCATCTTATCTGGAAAGTTGCCATAAAGTATAAACAGGTTGCCTCCTCAATTATTTTGAGATGTTTGAGATGTTTTGAGACCTCTCAATCTTGGGACGTTTACAGTGACACCAATTCACATCAACGCTAATTACTTTACAACACTAATTACTTACTTAGAACTAAGATATACCTGATTTCATGATCCAAGCGGCCCTCATTAATCTACAGCTTTCTCTTCAATAACTTCAACAAAGCCGCCCCATTATGAATTTCACAGCGCCCGGGCCGACAGACCCAACAATATCCCATTACATGATTATGCATATTACCGCATATTATGCATATTACCGCATATTACCGCCCAATTACCGCCCAATGATGAATTGAAGGAGACTGATCCTGAGCGCTCCTCCTCCTCACTACTTGTACACACTATATAATAGTGTAATGTACATACTCTTCCAAAAGATGCTCTGCCATGTTTCGGTGTATTCATTAATGGTCTTTATCATATATACCCATTAGCGTCCTACACACAATATATTACGCATATTAATAGCATAAAGGCGAGGTATTTTGTTTGTTGTATGAGTTAATGTATTGGGGGACGCAGTTCACAGAGGAGGAAACTGGTAATTGAGAGGGAAACGGGTAAATGGTAGCCGGTAGGGTCATTGGGTGGGTATAATGTTTAATCATGTAGTTCAAGATTAGTGATATCTAGGAACCTGGTGGTACGGCTATAGTGATTTGGGTAATTTTGGATGAGATGTTCAGATCTATTTCAATATTCATAATCCCCAAATATGTCCATTGCTGAGCAATGCTGTACAATTAATGTAGCCAAATAGCCGGTACTGTACGTGGCTTTAGTGCTGGAATGCTAAAATCAACCCTCAAATTAGGGGATGACAGGCTGGAAGGGCAATTTGAAATAAAAGCCTAATTGTTTAATGATTTTTTAAGACAACACTATTATATATTAGGGTGGGCCAAAAGTCAGTACCCATACGTTGGCCTTAATAGCTCCGCCGTGTTTTATATTTGAGAGCTGTTGCTTTGCAGATGGCATACTGTACTTACTGGTTCGAGGATTCCGTCGTCAAAATTTGAAAATTCGAATATTTTAGACCACGCCCATTCAATATTAAAACACTGATATTGTTTTCTCTGAACATGCTGAATACCTGATTTTTTCAGAGACGGTAGATTATCAAATGTTGCATATGATCTGAAAACATGAGGCAAAACGGATTTGAAATGACGAAGGTATCAAGCATTTTCTGTATCTCGTTAACAAAATTGACTGGGTGATTATGTGACACCGTGACACGACACCTTAATTGGGCACCCTTAACAATTCCCATAATGTTTAATGGGGTAGTTAACGGGGTCACCTTATCACGTGATTAGGTAAACCAATCACCTGATCACACGTAATGAATAAACTCGTTATGCTTCATATCTCGGTCATCTGAGAAGCTACTGTTCTAGTTCTAAGAAAACCGTATCGCAATGAAAGCCCCGAAACGGTGTCAGGTTTGTGACTGAAGATTCTGATCAAGCTCAGGGTTGAGTCTACACAGTGTCGCCACTTGCCGATGCCAGTTGATGCGAGAAGACACTGATGTAAGTGGGAAGTCATGTCTAAGAAACAGCGTGTGGTTCGGGTGCCGGTTGAACGCATGTAAAAGGGAGGGTATATCCGTATTTCGCTGCTAGTGATGCAGTCCTTAGCCCGGTAGCTAAGGCTTCCCCGTTCCTCGCTCATTTGTGCTCCGATGGGCTTGTGACCTCTGCGGGGGTCAAGTGCAGGATGAGGGACATGGCTGACCAGGAGAAGGTTGTTTTTTGGAGATAGAGTAGGGTTGGTTTGGTGTTGTGCCTTCGCAGTTTAACTGTATCTTTACTCTATGAATCGAGATCATAGTCTGACTTGACAATATGATGGTGAAACAGTAAAACTAAAGTGTGAGTGATAAAACATGAAGCACAAACAAACAATCGGGTCGGTCACCGTACAAGAACAAAATAAACGAACAAACGAACAAACGAACAAACGAACAAACGAACAAACGAACGCTAACTTGTTCCGATGGTAACGTTATAATAAGCAACGTCTATCTGATTAGAACCGTCATCAAGTTGGTAGTTGTACGCTGCACACGTGTACATCCCATCGTGTTCGAAGTTCAGGGCAAACATTACGAGGTCACCTGATTAGATGTAGCGTTAGTCAAACACAAGGAAAAAGTTTTATAAATTCTCTTAGTTCAACACAAGGAAACATTGTGGTAAGTTATTTCCTTGCTCAAAAGTATACGATCAATGACAATAACTGATTGACGTTAAATATCACAACCATCAAAATCATGATAACTTAACAAGATTCTTACATATAATAATTTGTTAAGTTATCATGATTTTGTATTATATATACTAAATACCTGACACCAATCATGGCAAGCATGATTCATCGTTACAATTTCTTTACTTTTAAACTTTAAAAATAAGATGTATCGCAAGCAAAATACTGCCCTCCGTGAGGCTCGAACTCACGACCTTCAGATTATGAGACTGACGCTCTAACCAACTGAGCCAGGAAGGCCTGGTGTTTAACCAACTAAACTGATTTCACACTACTAAATACTCACCAATGCTGATGTTCTCTCCCTCTATGACTCCCGTTCCGTGTGAAACAAACATGTTCTCGTCGTCCTGCAGGAAATTAGGAAATTAGTTAATTAATTGATCAGTTGCATGGAGAGCTATGTTAAATATCAGTAACTAGATTGGGTGAGGACCATTGTTTCTATTTTTATCATCATTGTTAAAACGTTAACTTTTTCCCCGTTCCCAATGTATTCAATTTGAACCCATTCCCCCGTCCTGGATCCAACTTCAATAGTTGGGGTTTATTTTAGAGCGAACATTACAGCCGAGAGGCTTCAGCTTAGATTGTAACTAATAACTGTCCAAGTGTCTACTGGACGAATCCTTACAGTCAGAAAAACTGCCGACAAGTGACAACTACAAGCTCGACAAGGTTGCCGACAAGTGACAACTACAAGCTCGACAAGGTTGCCGACAAGTTACAACTACAAGCTAGACAAGGTTGCCGACAAGTGACAACTACAAGCTAGACAAGGTTGCCGACAAGTGACAACTACAAACTCGACAAGCCTGCCTGCAGTTTAATTACTCTACCGAGGCTTCCTGTGAGCGAGGCTTCCTGTGAGCGGGGTATAGAATACTTATCACGTGACTATAAGTCGGATACTTATCACTTAGTTTCAATACTTTGTGGGACTCTATCAATCCGGCAAGAGAGACAATAGTGCATACTTTTATCTATTTATACCCACCACGTACATACCACCATTAGTTAATACTTAACAAATTAAGCTAATCACTCCGCTGACGTTTTCACAAAAGCACGTGGTGACGTGATATAGGGTCAGTAAGTGGAGTTAGTTTCACCGCCTTGGTTTATTATCGTAGTTCCGCCCTCTGTGTGAAACTGTGTGTATTTTCTGAGCGTGCAGTAAACGTGATAAAAGCAATGAAACGTGATTAAAGTAATAGAACGTAATAAAACGTAATAAAGCGTGATACAAGTAATAAAACAAATTAAGAGTTTTGATTCGAAGATATGTGCTGTTCAGTTAAGCGTAACAGATACGTTCTATGCATAATATATTCTTATCAAACCTCTACTGGTTTTATCACACATTAAGTTCTACCAGCTGTAACAGGTGTAACACAATTCCAAGTTGACACCTAGACTACAGAGGGGTATTCCAGTCAGAGACATTCCAACCAGATTATTATATACTATATTATATTATGCTAAAGTTCTAGATAACAGATAGTGTAACGCAGCTATCTGATCTTTCTCTAAAAACAGAATCATAAGGCTTACATTCTGCGCCAATTTGCTCTTTTCTAAGCAATATTTCTGAGATAATTTAAATCATAAATACATATAATATTATTAAGGAATAATTTCAGTTACATTCCTAACAGAAGGAAATTCTAGTTAGCTTATCTTTCAGCTCACAGAACCGTATTTTTAATACTTTCAACACTATTACTGTGTTTGTACGAATATGCCTAACATAGCGATTATCAAATAATTTGGTATAACGTTATAATTTATAACGAATTAATTTATATAACGTTATAATTTATAACGAATTAAATAACTTGAAATTTAACCAACAGATAATTTGGGCACATTAGATAGAAAAACGGACAGACTTTATTTTTCTTTAAAGATATTGCAAGCCTTGTCGCTGGCTTTGCCATATTACATAATAAACATAGTCTTTACTTTTTAAAGAGATTTTAAGCCTTAACGCACACACTATGATCCTTCCTTGGCGGCTGCCACAGTTCGGGCGTGGGAGGAGACCACTCTCTTTTCTTGACACCGTAGCCAGGGACACAGGGTTGCGGGTAGAAGATCTCCGAACAGTTATGTTCGACAGAACCATCTGGAGACGTAGAGTGGAGGAGATTTCGATCGAGCATCGCCCAAAGTAAGTAAGTATGATGAGAATAACTAGACAAATTTATGAGCCTCCATTGCAAGCAATAAAAACTAAGCGAATATCCAATCAGCTTCCAGCACTGAACTGTAAAACCCCAGAACCATGACTGTCACGTGACTGTTATAACACATGAGTGTCACGTGTTACTGTCACGTGACTGAATGTCACGTGTCAGGACAAATACAGTTCCCACCAACCACTTAACCTAAACAGTACAAGCTGCCTGCCAGACGAGTACACAGGACAACCATGCCGCTGACTCCTTCAAGTTAAACTCCTTAACTTGTTTAAGTCTTCGGAAACATTAGCTTTCAGCTTGGTATTTATAGCCTGATTTTCTCACCTTCCATAAAATTAAGATTATTATTATTTCTAGTCTTGCGCCGTCGCCGAATAGGATTACTGTGCCAGTCACAACAGTACTGTGATGGACCATTGCTCACTACATGATATGTTGATAAAATATGTTATTAATTCGATATTAAATACCCCATCTATACTGTGCTAGCATACGGTGTTGAACATTAATAAGCATATTTTTAATAATATTTGAAAATATATAATTATTACATGTTATAACATTCGTTACAGACAGTCGGCCGGGATAAAATGTTGTCTTACATTTTAAACTGACATTGCAATAATAATACATATGTAAGTAATAATAATATTTAAGTAATGCGATATTAGATATTATCCTTTTTACGGTCGTAATATAATACAGCCGGTGGAATATTAGCATATCTAATAGTATTTTAAAAGTATATATTATTATGTAGCACTTCTACAGACAGCGATATTATCTAAAATTCACATTTTACACTGATATGGGCTGAAAACTGGTATAAAGCATGTAATTAAAGTCTTATCAAATGTCTTAACTGGAATGTCACTAAGTATATTTAATAACATTTGAATAGTATAAGAATGTTTTATAACACCACTTGTAATTGCAGACAGTAGGACGAGCCCTTATATTATCTTACACGAAAAAATATGTAATTAATGTAAAAAATATGTAATTAATACGATATTAAATATCCTTCTTAGTCTTCAACATGGAATATCATCACAAACATTTTACAACATCTGAAAAAAAATTATATATTTCTACAGACAGCACAGAGAGCTCTAGCGTTCTAATATTACTTTACACAGAATAGTATTATTGGAAATGGGGGAAATATATCGTAATATCCCAAGGTATACTAGCTTACAAATTCTTCATATTATGAAGCCAGGGTGTGGAGTAGCTGGTTAAACCGCTTTCATCCCATTACATAATACCCAATAAATGTATCTAATTATATTTGCAAAAATATCATCTCGCTTTACAAACAGTAAGATAACAGTTGAAAAGTGTAAGTATTACAAATACCACTGAGCTGCAGACTGAGTATGCTCTACATTATACAGATAAGAATACTCCGAGAGATACAGTTGACAGCACTGTCCGATATTATTAGTATAATTACTTATAAGATTTACAGTGCCTGCCAGTCTAGAAATGCTAGAGTTAGTACAGTGTGTAGTAGAATGTGGAGAGAGAACTGATAAGTAGAGTGTAGAACTGATAAGTAGAGTATGAAGATATAATAAGCAGTGGAGGAACTGAAGTAGTACAGTGCTGAATTTAGTGCTATGGTTAGTACAGTGTGGAGTAGAATGTGGAGAGAAAACTGATAAGTAGAGTGTAGAACTGATAAGTAGAGTGTAGAACTGATAAGTAGAGTATGAAGAGATAATAAGCAGTTGAGGAACTGAAGTAGTACAGTGCTGAATTTAGTGCTATGGTTAGTACAGTGTGGAGTAGAATGTGGAGAGAAAACTGATAAGTAGAGTGTAGAACTGATAAGTAGAGTATGAAGAGATAATAAGCAGTGGAGGAACTGAAGTAGTACAGTGCTGAATTTAGTGCTATGGTTAGTACAGTGTGGAGTAGAATGTAGGGAGAGAACTGATAAGTAGAGTGTAGAACCGATAAGTAGAGTGTAGAACTGATAAGTAGAGTGTAGAACTGATAAGTAGAGTATGAAGAGATAATAAGCAGTTGAGGAACTGAAGTAGAACAGTGCTGAATTTAGTGCTATGGTTAGTACAGTGTGGAGTACAGCGGAGTATTACAATGAGGAGTGTAGAACTGATAAGCAGGAGCAACTGGGGTAGTTAGTGCTGAATTCTAATAATTCTAATAGTTCTAGAACTATTTGTAAAGCTGTTTGTAGATGTTTGCGCGGTTTCTGATTAAAAAGGTAGACCTAGAGTTAGAACTGTGTTTGTAACGACAGTACTAACCAACTTGTCAGTCACAGTTACAGGGACAGTTTAGTATTAGCTCTAGAACTATCTCATAGTATCTGTTTGGTTTCTGGCAAAGAACTTAAAATACTATGCAGTATTATAAGAGAAATTAGAGTATTTAATATTGAATTTTAGGAATATTTGGTGGGTTTCTAATAGATAACACTAAGTAGAGTTCAGCTACAAAACTATCTGCTAATGTTAGCTTGGTCTGTAAAAGAGAAGGTGGACACTAGTGAACTTGCTTGTCGAAGACTAAGAGCTGTGTTTACAGGAGACACACTAAACCATCTTGTTGCTAAACAGTAAATATACTGTATTTTATTGGGAGCTTATACTAGGTTCTGATATAATGATGCAGTGAAACTATCAGACTACGATGTATGGATACTTGCCACCCCATGGCAATATTAAAGTATATCGACTCTGTTACATCGTTTCCTCAATAAATGTATTTAATTTTAGCAGTGAAAATAGTTTTAAAATATCAGTGCATCAGTGTCAGTGGCGCGTTGTGTTTAACCATCTGATAGAGTTTAGTTTCTGATAGAGAACAGCAAGAGTCTGTATTATATAATAGAATATTCTACATTATATTAAGTAAGAATTATTTGCTTATTCGATGAATTTCTTATTCAGACATCAGTAAATCACCGCTGTAAATGAACAGCGCTATTTTGTCTGGATGCCGGAATTCTTGAAACATTAAAAAATACGATAGTCTGCACAGTTGCTATAGTAACAGACACGTGTAATTCCTATTCTAAGTACTATATCAGTAAATTCTATAACTTTTTGCTTGGTTTCTTAAGAACCGCTAGTAAACTTCAATCAGCTAATATCAGACTAATCAGCTAATTGAAGGCGTGGAGTAAGAACTATGTTTACAAAGGAGCTACTTGACCACATATACGAGATATCAGTTTTATAGGTCTGGATACTGTTGGGAGGTGAACCATATTTCTACTGACATGTGAGGGGAGTGTGACGTCACACTCCCCTCACGTGACGTCACACTCCCTCACGTGACATCACACTCCTTCATGTGACAACACGCAGCTTTGTAGATCTGGATACTAGTGGGAGGTATATTTCTACTGACACGTGACAGCTATCAACCAATCAGCCTTCAAAAAGAGAATTTAGTTGTAAATTCACTGGGAGCCCTAGGCGGAAGCCGTTACTCAACTGAAGAGATTTACATAGTGCGGACACAAGAATGCTTGCGGAGTCTACCTGAACCATGAGCCATAACGCCAACATGAGGCATAACGCCAACTAAACTGTCTGTTGCACGTGTCTTGACATTTTTATGACTGACGTTGATTGTAACAACAGTTACAATAGTACAATTTGCACGTTAATGACAGCTTTATGACATGTTTATGACATGTTTATGACATGTTTATGACTATTTATGACTGTTTATGACATGTTTATGACTGTTTATGACTGTTTATGACTTATTTATAACTCTCTTGTTAATTAAAATATCTTACACCAAAGCAGGCTGAGTGACACTACAAGCTACCATTATAATAATATGTGTTTACTATAAATATGTGAATTATCATAAGTTTAATGTATCCTGTAACAACAACAACATATTACTATATTATAATAGTGTTTTAACAATAAATTATACAGTGTTTTCAAATGCATCAGCACCGGATACACTCCACACTTAGCAGTGGTAGTAGTTATAGTATGCTGCATCTTGGAATGTGGTTTTATATTGGTTTGACACGTGACCATATCTTGTGCAATCTGCATCTTATTTTAATCGTTGCTGAAGTACGATGCACCTCATCTGAATAAATTCTAACAATTTTATTTTTTATTTTCAAATGATCATAAAATAGAACCGTGCAAAAAAATATTGCCCCCAGCTGTAAAATATATTGAATTGACTTCGTAACTCGTATATTGTCAATATCAGAGAAATTAAAAATATATTTTAATCTACGCTTCATTTCCTTCAGGTTCTGTTAAATCGTAACATGAGTAGAAGTAAAGATTAGACACAGAACACCGTTTATGTCATTAAACGAGAGGAGGCATTGAAGTAACGAAACGAGATGTTGAGTAGAGTTCAGAGTGCTAACGTCATAATTGCAGTAAATCAGAAGTTAGAAAATTGTGTTTTACGGTGGGTGGCTCTGAAAATCACGTTTAGCTAAAATGTTCTAAAATGTTGTAAAACACACAAGTTGGGTTAGTGTGGCCGTCTGTAAACACAGCACTTACTCTGTGACTTTTACCACTGATAGTTTTCTAGAGAAAGAAACCCACTAAATATATCTAGTCGAACATTTAGATATATCTAAATGTATTATATACAAGCAGAATTTCCCAAGAGGCAGTCAGCCGAGAACAATGGTACCTGAATTCAGCTAAATAATTCAGCTTCAAATAAACTATTAAATTCACTGTACTGTACCTGATTAATAGGAACATTGTCCTTGAACCACCTCGGTAAAGCAGGGGGGTTAGACGCGGGCATCTTACATCTCAGCACGTGCAGGCGCGCGGTGGAGAGAAGCAGTCTGTCCTCTAATACCGGAAAACCTCGCGTTAGATCTGCGAGGAGGAGGGACTTAAAGAGATTGGGGTATAATATGTTTATATTTTATCAAGAGGAGCTATTCATTGAGAAGTTTGGTGTTACGATTTACACTGTGCGGACAGTGCGATACAACTTAAGTGCACTAAAATGAAAGCTATATCTCATCCAGAGAAACTAATGATTTTCCCAATTCTTTTATGATCAGTAATATAATGAACTTACAATTGTCCACGACTTGAAGGTAGATAACATTGCTGTATATGATAACCCCAGCATCATCACTAACAACACACTGGTAATAGGCTGCATCTTCACTGCTTACTTTGGGGATGAAGTAGGATGAGATCTGGGTGTCAGGATCTGCTTCTACTGATTTTAACTGAGGGAGATGGTAGTTAGTAACAATTAGTAAATATTTTGCTTATTACTAATAACTTATACATGTTATAGTTATAAGTACTATTATCTTAATGGAAGGTGTTGTTTTGAAGTGGTGTACCATTATTTTAAAAACATGACAGCAAGTTATCAATAAGCTTACATCATAGACTAATCGCGAGCATCTCATAATGTGCTGTCGAAAATGGCACGTCAGAGAAACACAGACAAGTTAGCGGTCCTATTTAAACTGGCACCACCTTATTATTAGCTAGTGTTTACATTAACAAATGTCATTCAACAACCTAAACTTTTCGCGTGATAAACCAGTAAACAGGCTTCAGAAATAAATCAATAAATTGCCGAGATTTTTAAACTTGTTCAAACATGCACGGGAACGAATGTTTGAAATTTTAAACTTTTTAGATAAAAACAAACAATTTGGATGGGAGTTTCAAAAGTACTTTCCCATCGTGGTACAGAAGTCCCGGAGAACAATCAGACGACAAAATAGTGTGCGAGATGCTACTACAGCAAATTGTAACATTTCCAACAATGCATTTCACTGATAACGCTTATACAGCACAGAAAAGTTGAATTTACAATAACACTAAATTAAATATGTATAGAAATATGAATAACCGAAAGGAAAAACGCACAACACCCGTTTTGCTCAGATCTACCTAGACAAACAGACAAACAGCTGCATAACACATACGAGTGTTACCGTACTTTTAAATGTAAATAAACAAACACACACCTTTAATAGCTTGCTAATTGGAATATCGAAGTGACTGTGTTACCTGTGTGCTTCCGGCTATGTGAATATGAACCACCATGTAATTAACATGTTAGCTTCACTGTGGATGTCAAAATAAAAACATTGGGTTGGTGTTCTGGCAGAGTATTTTTATCCTTTCCAGTTTCTTCACTAAAATATCTACCAACATGTTGCTAAACAAACCCCATTAATGATGTATTTGAAAGTGCAAAGCAAAGAAAATCCCGAATACAACAATTTCATTCAAATCCCAACACCGCAAACTTTGCTTTTACCCTGGTCGATAAGCTGTGGTAAAGATCTGACGATTTCTGACGTGGATTATTAAAAATAGGCCTTTAAAACAAGAAAATTATCTCAGTGATGTTATAAAATTAATAAAAGCTTCAGCAGAAAAAATTATCATAATATTATCTACTGCTATTACATCGACAGATAAAATTATCATCATATCTGCTATGTTCAACAATTTGATGAAAATGTATACAGGGCGTATTATTTGGTAAAGTCCCACTATTTGTTAGTTAACTGTTGAACAAACATAATAAACTACTTACTCTACTCATCATATTATACTGAGGGGAATCTCCCTTGAAGAATGTGTAGGTTAGATTTCCTATTCCCCCATACGCGCCACAGTCTATAGTAGTCGTCATCTGAAAGATATTGTTTCAGTGACTGGTTGTTAACTCAGCAGATCACTTTTAAGAGGCATTACGTCTTCTAAAACAAAGAAAAAGATTGATTTAAAGGCTAAGATAAAAGTGTACCTCTCTTTTAACTGATTGTTTCTGAGGTTGAAGGAAGAACTGTGGATAGGGCATTGCGTTAGGAGGCACATCTTGTTGGCGAGTGTACCTGAAGTAATAACCTAAAATAGCTTGGACTTTGGAGCTGCTTACTTTTTTAAACACCGAATTTTATTGAAATATCGATCATAGTTCACATTGGAAGAAATAATAAAATAGTGTATAATAATACATTTACCTTATACAGAGTAGAAGCAAAAAGAGGACTTGTAACATAAGCTCATGCCATGACATTTATCTTATCTGCTGTTGAATATTAGAATTATATTAACATCATTTTCAAAAAGTTTGGCTTCATTCAAAAATGTAGGTACACAAGTGCTATGAGAATTCAAGGTAAAGTACCAACAATGGTGTCTGCTATCATCTATACAGTTGGAAATAGAAATAGCAATAAAACAATTTAAATATCATAAAACAAGCTGTATTCAAGGATCTTACAACTTCTTTGCAAACAAAGAATAAGTCACATCTGTAATGAGATGATCCTTGGCAGCTGGATGGAATTCTAAAAAGTCCCGATTTTTAACAAACTCAAACCCAAGGCTGCTGTACCACTTTTTTAAAGCTTCTCTCCTAGGGTCTGATACATTAGCGGGGGCTAGAATGTCCAGTAGAACTGTTTGACAGCCATCTGTCCTAGCTAAATCCAAAGCAAAATCAACCAGCTTTCTCCCTATACCTTGTCTTCGAGACTGAGGGCTAACTACCAGCATGGAGAGATCTTTTTCAGTTTCACTTAGCCTTATCAACACTAAACAGCCAACAAAATTTCCTGAATTCACAGCAACAAACAATTCTTTTTTAGCACAATATAGGTCAAACTCTTTGTCAATTAATCGTATGCGTGTGTCCTTGTAAATATTTGCAAACATTTTCGTGTAAGTTTTGTTAACCAGGATGGTTTTTGTCTTTTTATCTGACAGATTCCCAGGTCGTATCTTCAAATCGTCTGTACTGTTCAGGTCCATTATAGTTCTACTTATGACGAAAATGGAGTAAAAGCTTTTTTTTTAAATATGTTTATTTCAAAACCTGGCTTTACCCAGAAGGTGATTTAAGCGTACTCAGAAATTATACCATAAATTCAAGAATTATTTTCTTAATGCAATTATTTAAATCAATTTATAAAAAATTCTCTGGGTAAATAACTTAATATATAATATAATATACCATGTGTTTTACATAAAAGTCAGCTATATTTCTTGCCACTGGTTAGGATTTATATTTTTTGATGGGGTAAAAACGAAATTAGCGGGGGCTGATTCATTAGCAGGGGCTATAAAGTCCAGTAGAATTGTTTGACAGACATCTGTCCAACTACATATTCTGTTGCTTGAAACAAGATTAAGACCGGATCTGCTAATTCTAAACATCGCCAATCCATAATCAGTCAAACCACTTGTTCTTTTAAAAGCTTCTATGAGGTACCCACGTATTCGCCACTCAACCAGCGTTGACAAATTGAGGATTTCCTGTCTACGGCTGTAAGGAAGAGTAACCACCTCATCAATCAGACGGGTTATCCGCCTCTGGATGCTCTCCGATAAAACAAGCTTTATTCAAGGATTTTACAACTTCTTTGCAAACAAAGAATAAGTCACATTTGTTATAATGAGATGCTCCTTGGCAGCTGGATGGAATTCTAAAAAGTCCCGATTTTTAACAAACTCAAACCCAAGGCTGCTGTACCACTTTTTTAAAGCTTCTCTCCTAGGGTCTGATACATTAGCGGGGGCTAGAATGTCCAGTAGAACTGTTTGACAGCCATCTGTCCTAGCTAAATCCAAAGCAAAATCAACCAGCTTTCTCCCTATACCTTGTCTTCGAGACTGAGGGCTAACTACCAGCATGGAGAGATCTTTTTCAGTTTCACTTAGCCTTATCAACACTAAACAGCCAACAAAATTTCCTGAATTCACAGCAACAAACAATTCTTTTTTAGCACAATATAGGTCAAACTCTTTGTCAATTAATCGTATGCGTGTGTCCTTGTAAATATTTGCAAACATTTTCGTGTAAGTTTTGTTAACCAGGATGGTTTTTGTCTTTTTATCTGACAGATTCCCAGGTCGTATCTTCAAATCGTCTGTACTGTTCAGTTCCATTATAGCTCTACCTATGACGAAAATGGAGGGAAAGCTTCTTTTTTTAACTAGAAAGAACCCGTCTAATATAACGGTGTCAGGACTCAAGAGACTAAAATAATATAACAAATTTGATTCAGTGTTCTCGGCCCACAGGTTCCTCCTATTAAAAAATTTTGATTTTAATTTTGGTAAACTCGTGAGTATTGAATATGTTGACGGATGTTACTCGTCTAAATTTCTTCGAAGTAGCGCACGCCGCTTTCTTCTCAAAATATTGGCCCGATGGCAAGTGCTACGAAATAGCGCGCGCCGGGCAAAACACCAAACCATTAACAACAAACAATGGTCAATTGGATATGCTAACGAAATGTGAAATACGCTTTTTACTAGATCAGACTATATATTAGTGAACTACTCAAAAATTCGTCTCAATCATAAATTTATATCAGCGCAATTCAAAATTTAAATACAAATTCTAAAGCAGAAGTAAATTTTGTAGCGCGATGCACTATTGGGTCGCGCGCGCATCAAATAATGCTTCTCGCATGCAGATCGGCGAAATGCGAAGGATTGACATCGTGAATCAAAAGTAAATCCAAATGTTATTCAAAAAATATTTCCTCAACTGACTTGTTTTTTATTATTATTATTATAAAACAGGATCTTACCGACAAAAATGATTGTTAAAAATACCTTAATGCAAAAAACTGTACCCTTGAAAAAGATTTTTTTTACCATTGTTAATGGTTTGGCCCGGCGCGCGTTACTTCGTAGCTCGAGTCATCGAGAAGAAGGCGGCGCGCGCTACTTCGAAGAAATTTAAATGAGTAACATCCGCGCCGTCAAAGATTTTACCAACATTTATTGATTGACGGTGTCAACCCATCAAGATCGTTGATCTGCGAAGCAGAGCAACGATCGACGAAGCAAGAATGCTAGTTTGCGCGGCGCGTCGAAGCAGCGAAGTCCTTCATCAATGAATAACATTTGTTGCATGCAGCTGTATTGTATATTTCTAATTTTGTTCAATTCATGCAAGTTGTCCATTTGCAAATTCTTACTACTTAAATCACTTTTTAAAATCTTGTTTTCTTAATGTTTTTTGTATCACGTTGCGCGGCCCCACGGTCGTTTCACTATCGTCCTGACGATTCACCTAACCATGTGCTTTCGCGCTGCACTGCGGGCGCGCTTGTTTCACAAGTCAAGAAAACCGCTGTGAGGCGGGCGCGCGCTACTGCAAGCGCAAGGGCTCTGGATAAAGCAATCCTGACGATACAGGGACAGCCGCGCACTTCGTGCGTGGCGGGTCATACAACGTATGACAAAATGATTTAATTTCATGAAAAAATAGTCCATAATGTTTTGTTTCACTATTTTATAAATTTGAACAGCTCGTGCAGCATGAAATAAAAATAAAATCTTATCACGAGCAAATTATTTTGAATTCACTGCTGCTCACTGCTGCTTTGTATCACGTTGCGACCCCCACGGTCGTTTCACTATTATCGTCCGTTCACCCCTTTATCGTCCTGACGATACAGGGGGAGCCGCGCACTTCGTGCGCGGCGGGTCATACAACGTATGACAACTGCTGCTCACTGCTGAGCTGTCGCGCGCGTGCTCATAGCTAGTAGCAGTAATGAGTAAGCAGCATGTATGTTGATGTGTATGAGGAGACTGGGTGAAATTTCAGAACTTGAAATTTAATTAGCTGAACCAGGCCTAACTCGGATAATATTCTTTTCTGTGTTTCACTGTGTCTGCCAACAAAATTGTAGTGTAGGTCAGAAAAGGAGCCTCTATCCTTGCTCTAACCAGAGCCCTCTCGCTTGCAGTAGCGCGCGACTGCACTTGTGAAACAAGCGCGTCACGCAGTACGCGTATACACATGGCTATGTGAAGCTCTATCCTAGGACACCATCATATTTTGGATTGGCACCTGGGAGAAGCTGCCTTATTTTGTGTATTTTGTCTCAAGTACTATGTATTAGTAATCAGAGCATCTTTTTCACTCTGTTTATCTCACCGTCCCTACTTTGTATTTGTATGTTGCCCAGATAGTTTGGTATGACCATTGGATTTTCATAAACAACTATTATCATAGTTACTGTTCTGCAGTAAACTTTTTCAATCATTTTTTATTGTATATGGAAGTATTCAGATTGTTTGTATTTATAGTATATTTGGAGTTCTGTAGAATTTTATAGAAATTTTAATATTTTTTTTTTCAAATGTTTTGTTAGAAAACCTGTTAACCTTTCTTAGATATCTTTTTGTGAGGTGCATATGCCTTATATAGTCAGGATTTAAATTGCAGTTATTAACTTCTGTTTTCTTAATAGTTTCACTCCCGTCCAAGGCGAGATGCACAATCTCTACTGTCATTTAGTTAGTTTTTAACGGCCAGGTAGCGCAGTTGGTTAGAACGCCTGTCTTACAATCGTTAGGTTGCGAGTTCGAAACCCACTGACTGCCTGGTCGTGGGGTGAGCGTCGTCGACGTTCAGCTAAGGATCATGAGTGGTCTATGCAGCCCCCCGGTCTACTCAGCCGAATACTCGAGAAATCGGGTGTGAGGGTTAAATGAGGAGCTGCACATTGCAGCAAAGTCTCGGACGAAGAAAGTATGGTACACACTACCTTAACCGTCACTGGCCAAAAAGATCCTTCGGCTTCCTGTAATTGGCTGGTTGCACTTGTGTAACATTGTGGCTGTTGGAATACACCGAAGTAAAATAAGTGTCTAGATAAAAAAAAAATCATTTACAGCTGAGCATGAGCATATTAAGGGTTAAATTTGAATTATTTAACCTTTCGGTGCTGTATAGAAATAACATTAATTTATTATTATTACATTGGGTCTCAACAAGAGGTCTCTACTGCCTAGGCATCAAACCTTGGCAATCTAACCCTAGGGACCAGAGGAAAAAAGCGTAGAGACTGTGTGTATCTACAAAAGTGGTTGTTTTTACAAGAGACAGGGCTTGCAACGCACGGGAAAAAATGGGAGAAATAATCACAAAGTGTATATCATATGACTTAGCAAATAGAGATTCAAACAATCCTACACTACAATAAATGTATATTTCATAATCATAATTTGTTGTATAAACAAGAGACAGGGCTTGCAGAGCAAGAGATGGGACTCACTAGAACTGGCTACAGAGTGTATGATTCAGTAATTCAGCAAACACCTATTACTGGAATCTGACACACAAATTACCACAATCAATACAAGAATATACAAAATACTAAACACAATGTTTATACAAGAAACAGGGCTTGCAGACCAAGGGAAGAAATACAAGAGAAACAACTGCAACAGTTGTATATCACATAGTCCATTAATTATTATTACTACCTTTAGTCAAATCTGCTACTTTTTAGGAATACAGATACATGTGAAGTGTAAGAATTTTAAGGTTGGGTTAGGTTTACGCCTTAATCTTATTTCCTGTTTGAATTTATTTCTGTTCACAATTTAATATTTACACATTATCAATAATTGTCGCTAATGAGACTGTTGGTCGAGACTCTCAAATTGTACCTCAATACTTGTATATAATCTAAAGCGTCAACTCACTTTAGGTTAGGTACAGTTTCTTATCCATGTCAATGCTATCAAAACAACCATGAATTGATCTCTAAGAGATGGAAGTCTCTGTGACGGAGAAAGATGAGGATCCGCTCTTCCGTCGATCATCCCGGAAGAGACGAAAAATAAATTACAAAAGTAAGTTGTTTGTTACACAAAACAGTAGTGTCGTTGAATAAACTTCACATCAATTCTATTTGGTCATTTAGTGAATATTATTTGAATATCATCATAATTATAATTGAAATTTAATCATTTTTCAGGTGAAAAGCAACTGAGGGTGATAGTTAAAAAAGAGGAACAAACCGATGGAAAACCCAGAAAAAGGGGAAGGCCAAGGTTTTTATTATACTGAAAATAAGTTTCTGTCAAAGTGGTTTAGATATCAATTTCTTAATCGTTGGGGTAACCCTGGCCTAATTTACCTTAAGTAAACAAATAGTATATATAGTTATAAACAAATCCTTTTTCTCAGGAAGCAGCCTCTTCCTCTTCCTATTCCTCCTGAAGAATTGGACACTAAATCACTGAAATTTTTGGGTACACCTGTTTTGGGGACACCTGTTTTGGGGACACCCGTTTTGGGGACAACTGTTTTAGGAACAACTACTGTAAAAAAGAAGTGTAGAAAGTTTAAATTGGATGAAATTGACATCATAATCGAAGAATACATCAAACTGGGAAACGAAGATGGAATGAAAAGAATTATCAATTCCTTGCAATGTGCTCTACAGACAACACCCAAGAAAACATCTAATGCTTGTCAAAAAGGTGGTACAGACATAGTAAAAGAAGCACCAACTCCTGTAAAACAGAGAACAAGAAAATCTACCGAAACTCCTAGGAACCTTTCCAGTGCAGCAATTGTTTCAGAGAACTCACAGCCTCAAAACATAAACCCACGGTTACAATCTGCCTCATCTATTCCAGCAAACCTTCAAACTAAGTCGATATCAGTGCATGGAAACAGTGTTATAATGCAAGGTGTCATTGATACTGGAATGGCTCAAACTTCGTGTTTTCTCATTCCGATTGATATCGGAAACATTGGTCAACTTCCAAGTCAGTTGAAAATGTTTTTAGAACTTGAGTATAATTGTACAGTTATTAGAATATATATTCGCATATTGATATATCCACACTATATTTACATTACACGTTCAACGTGATATCATTATCAGTGCAGTGTGTACAACACCAACTACACCGATCAATTGCCAATCTGCGAAATATTTAATTATTATTATCACTTCGAGATGGCAGGGCCTACTCTCATGCTGTCTATAGGTGATGATTTATTCTGAAAAACTTGATATTCCGCACAAAGCATGAAATTGTGCTGTATATGAGTGGTGATTTCGCTCTGAGAATCAGAATCAGTAGCTCAATTGGTAGAGCAAGACACGCGAAATGTCGAGGTTCTGGGATCATTCCTCAGTTGTCCCTAGTTTTTAAGAATTAATCATCACCTATATACAGCATGAGAGTAGGCCCTGCCATCTCGAAGTGATATAATTGTTCAGTATAATGCACTTCTCGCATTGGAGTGTAGCACATTTACTGTTTGACAGTAAGATTCCATTCTTTTATTCTTTTTTATAACATGAATGGAATGATGTGCAAATAATTATATTAAATATGCTATTATCCAGGTGGGGTCCAGGTTATCCAGAGCACTCCAAATCAAATGATGGGAAACCAACATCAGGTCCTCAACACACAAACATCTCAAAATGTAGGAAACTCTAGTGTCCTCATCCCCATCAACCAGCAATCACATCAGAATCTATCCCAACAACAACAGCAGCAGCAACAACAACAACAACACCAACAACAGCACCAACAACAGCAACAGCCTCAGTTTCTGCCTCTCAACCTCCCTGTTCATAACACGACTAACAGCACCAACACAGCATTTGCAAATGGAGGACATGGTTTAACAACCAGTACCTCAAATAAAGCTGGTAGTTTCAACGGTAGTTGTGATAAAGCACCTCCGTTTAAAGGCATCATTAGATCTACAAGTTCAAACAGCAGTGTTACTGTAACCAATTCTATCCAAGGGAGACCACTCACAAGTGCTCCTCGTATCATAGAGGAGGATATTTCTGTCACCAACCAATCAACCGGTGATTACCATTAACAACGTTATAATCAATTAATACATTATATTAATTGAACATTTCTTATATAAGAAATATCATCAAAGTTAGTTTCAAATAACATGTATCGATAAATTGTTATCCATTTTTATGATTATATCCGAAATTTCGTTATATAAGCTTATCGTTAATTTCGCAGATTCTGTTGAAGTCTCGGTCGCTGACAAAGTACAAATAATTAACAGCAGTGCTAACAAGAAATCGCCAAATGGTAATGATGCTACAAGTGCCCAAGTGGACGCAGTGGTGGACGCACTCCAGTCAACTGATTCTCTTTCTCAGGTGACTACTACCTTACATTTACTTTCACTTTCACCTTAATGTTTATTTCTATTTCCACTTTCACTTTAATTTCAGTCAGACAAAATCTAACCTTATCTCAATATCCTAACATAATTTAAAATTGGTTCACAGTTTGTAGAAATACTTCTACTTTCGTTTTACTCCTACTTTCTTGTCAGATGTTAGACCAGCTGTCGCATGACGACATGGTTTCTATAATCAGTATCCTTACCAACAGTCCCACACCAGCTCCCTCCACTAATCCTGGTTCTGCTTCCACTTCTGATAATCTCTCTACTGACCTGGCTAAGGTGAGAAGCTTAATTTGTAACTTGTAATTTGTAATTTATAATTTGTAACTTGTAATTTGTAATTTGTACTAGGGCCGGGAGTATTCTACTCTTCGAGCCACTGAATGTGCGTTTTTAGAGCTTAGCCTCAACAAATTTTAGTTCTCTGTTACGTCGTAATTTTCGTTCGTCCTGATTTGCCTAAATTCGTGTCTATTAATTTGACCAAAACCCATAATCATGGGTAGAGTGTACCGCTCGCTTTTTCCATTCGATCACGGCTTACGAATTGTAATTGGTAATAAAGCTTATTGATTAGAAAAAGCGAGCGACCGATTTCATTCTCGGTATCAATTTGCATTTGCGGACGGTTATTCAAATTAATATCATTTCCTTTTGTTTGGAAAAGAGAGCGGTACACTCTACCCATGATTATGGGTTTTGGTCAAATATCATCTCTTTTTGATTATAATGTCAGGATAATTTACAAAGCCGAAATGTAAACTCATAACTTCATTAATATTTATATTAATAATTAGGAGGTAATTTCATCGATTTCGAAATTTTACCTGACTGAATATGGCACTTTTTACTCATTCAAGTTGGCATTAAATTCATATATAATTCCATTTAAATATCGCGGGAAAGCAGAATTTATTCGAAATCACGAATGAGCAAAATTCTCACCTTTCGCACGTGCAAACTTTGAGCGGACGTAGCGTGCGCATACAATATTGAATCACCGTAAATCTTTGCATAGCAGTATTTTATATATAATTTAATAAGCATGCAAAGTTTCAGAAGATTTCATATAGAACTTGGATCACAACGGGACTCCAAAGTTGATAAAAATGGTAAAAACAGCAATTTTCAGTAATTTTAGCAATTTTCTATCAATTTGGGCGTGTCCCCACGTGTGCAACTTTTCGATTTTCAACTTTAAAACTAGCCTATAACACAATTTAGACCTTTAGGAAGCACAATCGAGCTCCACAACCCAAGGGATGGCCCAACACCAGAGAATACTAATTCACAACTTTTGTATTTTTATAAAATTATTCTTCAAAAAAGCACTAACTTCAATAGCGAATATCTTTATGAAGGAGCAAGGTAGGAAAATTTTCCGGTAGATTTTCAGAATGCTTGAACAATTATCTAAGGTGAAAATATTCTCAGATTTTGAATAAAATTACTCCTTAATGGTTTAAAATCGATTTGAAAAGTTGTTATTTTGTTAAAAACCAAGTTTTAAAAACACTTAACTTGATGACGTCATCAAGTGATGATGATGACGTTAAATTACTTATTAATATAATGTAAACTGGAGTGTAAACGATTATCTTCAAGACCTGTGGTTCGAAATGACTGTATCTTTTATACTTTTGAATCTACGGACACTTAAATGTAGGCTATAATTGACTGCAAAAGCGTCTATATATAGTATATATATATACTTCACGACAATCTGTTGTAAAACAGGGGTTCCAGAAAACCCACTTCCCGATACTCCTGAAACATGAATTTTTTTTTACAGTCGATTTGGACAAGGTCTAGACGCCCTGCAAAGTTTCATATCTCTAACTCAATTTTAACATGGTTTTTAAGGCACCTGAATATGGCGATTTTGGGTTTTTTACCTAATTTCGTATAACATGCTGGCGCGTATTTTGCGCAAATTTCTTAAAAACCTCCACATAACTATTTCTTATTCCTGTCATCTTTAACATTGAATTAGAATGTTTTGAACTTAAAAATGCCTGCTGAACTACTTTCGATGAGTCTTAATGCCTGGAAAACAATAAAGGGGATATACTAGTATAGGGGGTAAATAGTATTGTGAATATAAGGGCGACGGTAATGCTTGCCAGCATTGTGATCAATCCGTCGAGACAAAATGCTATATATAATATAATTAGTATTGGACTATTAATTTATTTTATAGATAGTTATCGTACATTGTACAATACTTTTAACTCAAATTCCCCTTACTTAGCTGGCAAGTGATATCGACAAGATCTCAAAATTGGACCCTGATCAGCTATCTAACGGAGTGGTTAATCAGCTGGCAGCTGAGATATCCAAGGTACGGGATGTTGTGGTACGGAGGAATGGTATTCCTAGTATTTCGCTGATTAAATGCCCTTATTTAGCTACTTTTATTTAATAGACTGGCTCTGATAGACTTCTGACAAGTTGAACTTAAAGTGATTTTTGATGAACTTAGAATACTGGTTATATTATTAGTATGTGGCTTCCTCTTCTCTCTGTCTCGGGGCAGTATCATGTACTAAGTACTTAGGTGAGAATTAGTTATCTAATGAGTCATTAATTAATTGTTTAATTAATTAATTATTTAATAATTGCTTATCTGTCCAGTTGCTATCAAGTACTGCAGCTCCTGTTACCCCAGAAGAAGGACCAGACAAGCTACTCACTAAACTACTTGACACTGCAATACAGGAGGAAGACGAGGACTTTCAACATGTCCAGATTATGTGAGAATAGTTTGTAATTTGTTATTTGTTATTTCAACATGTCCAGATTATGTGAGAATAGTTTGTAATTTGTTATTTGTAATTTCAACATGTCCAGATTATGTGAGAATAGTTTGTAATTTGTTATTTGTAATTTCAACATGTCCAGATTATGTGAGAATAGTTTGTAATTTGTTATTTGTAATTTCAACATGTCCAGATTATGTGAGAATAGTTTGTAATTTGTTATTTGTAATTTCAACATGTCCAGATTATGTGAGAATAGTTTGTAATTTGTTATTTGTGATTTCAACATGTCCAGATTATGTGAGAATAGTTTGTAATTTGTTATTTGTGATTTCAACATGTCCAGATTATGTGAGAATAGTTTGTAATTTGTTATTTGTAATTTCAACATGTCCAGATTATGTGAGAATAGTTTGTAATTTGTTATTTGTAATTTCAACATGTCCAGATTATGTGAGAATAGTTTGTAATTTGTTATTTGTAATTTCAACATGTCCAGATTATGTGAGAATAGTTTGTAATTTGTTATTTGTAATTTATACATGTCCAGATTATGTGAGTATAGTTTGTAATTTGTTATTTGTAATTTCAACATGTCCAGATTATGTGAGTATAGTTTGTAATTTGTTATTTGTAATTTCAACATGTCCAGATTATGTGAGAATAGTTTGTAATTTGTTATTTGTAATTTCAACATGTCCAGATTATGTGAGAATAGTTTGTAATTTGTTATTTGTAATTTCAACATGTCCAGATTATGTGAGAATAGTTTGTAATTTGTTATTTGTAATTGCAACATGTCCAGATTATGTGAGAATAGTTTGTAATTTGTTATTTGTAATTGCAACATGTCCAGATTATGTGAGAATAGTTTGTAATTTGTTATTTGTAATTTCAACATGTCCAGATTATGTGAGAATAGTTTGTAATTTGTTATTTGTAATTTCAACATGTCCAGATTATGTGAGAATAGTTTGTAATTTGTTATTTGTAATTTCTACGTTGTACCTCGTGATTTGAGGTTATTCTTTTGTTATTACTGTTTTGTAAGTTATTATATTTTTTCATTTTTTACCTATTTTTATTGATAATTTATTAGTGGTTTCCTAATATTTCCTTGTGTTTAAACCCCTCCTCCCCCAGACAAGCTGACAGTTTGTAATCTCTAGTATAGTAGTAACAGTAAGAATATTTCCTTGTGTTTGAACCCCTCCTCCCCCAGACAAGCTGACAGTTTGTAATCTCTAGTATAGTAGTAACAGTAAGAATATTTCCTTGTGTTTGAACCCCTCCTCCCCCAGACAAGCTGGCAGTTTGTAATCTCTAGTATAGTAGTAACAGTAAGAATATTTCCTTGTGTTTGAACCCCTCCTCTCCCAGACAAGCTGACAGTTTGTAATCTCTAGTATAGTAGTAACAGTAAGAATATTTCCTTGTGTTTGAACCCCTCCTCCCCCAGACAAGCTGACAGTTTGTAATCTCTAGTATAGTAGTAACAGTAAGAATATTTCCTTGTGTTTGAACCCCTCCTCCCCCAGACAAGCTGGCAGTTTGTAATCTCTAGTATAGTAGTAACAGTAAGAATATTTCCTTGTGTTTGAACCCCTCCTCTCCCAGACAAGCTGACAGTTTGTAATCTCTAGTATAGTAGTAACAGTAAGAATATTTCCTTGTGTTTGAACCCCTCCTCTCCCAGACAAGCTGACAGTTTGTAATCTCTAGTATAGTAGTAACAGTAAGAATATTTCCTTGTGTTTGAACCCCTCCTCCCCCAGACAAGCTGGCAGTTTGTAATCTCTAGTATAGTAGTAACAGTAAGAATATTTCCTTGTGTTTGAACCCCTCCTCTCCCAGACAAGCTGACAGTTTGTAATCTCTAGTATAGTAGTAACAGTAAGAATATTTCCTTGTGTTTGAACCCCTCCTCCCCCAGACAAGCTGGCAGTTTGTAATCTCTAGTATAGTAGTAACAGTAAGAATATTTCCTTGTGTTTGAACCCCTCCTCCCCCAGACAAGCTCAACAACAAACAACAGAGGAGGTTAACACTAACGCTGGGTTAAAGTGTTACATGTGTGGTTTAGTGTGTCCTGATGAGCGGGCTTTCATTACTCACATGCGCTTCCACCTCTTCAACTACAGGTTAACACTAGCACCATTTTAACTACTGCAATTTGGAAACTCATCTATATATAAACCTCTGTATATTATAATAAAACCATGATTCTCTATACCGGGTCCCTTGATATACCTCTTCTTTCCCCCGAACGTTTAGTAAATTGGCTCTTTGTACCGGTTTTTGTTCTATACCGTGCACTTTTCGTTTCCCTTTAAAGGCCTGTTATATATTTAAGTCACTATTGTGACGGTACATTATAACTAGAGGTTTTACCGTACACACCCCTGCAGATTTCGTCGATTTCAGGTGCCGTCGGCACCATAAAAATTAAAAGCAAACATAAATTTTTTTCCCCTAAAATCGAACGCTTTCTGCGCAAAAAATTGACCTCAACAGAAAAAATTAAACATGGCTTCAAATCCAAATTTGAACCAGAGATTTTTCACTTCCTCTCGATAAACTTAATTTTCAACCCAAAATAAAGTCTCAAAGGGGTAAATTACTCAGGTCAGGATTGTAGGCAATGATTATGCCAAACCATACATTTTTGTAAATTCATTAAACTTTCAATTTAGCCTAAAACACCCTATTCCGCAAAATTTTTCCGGGGGGCTGCGCCCCCCTCGCCCCCGCCAATGTGGTCCGCCCCTTACCAGGACCCCGCTGGGGGCTGCGCCCCCAGACCCCTGCCACAGCTTGCAGCTTCGCTCGCCGACAGCCCCCCCCCCCCAAAGAAAAATCCTGGCTACGTGCCTGAGCAAAATATAGGTTAAGGGCTTTTCAGATGATTTGGCTCCTCAACAGATACTGACGTACATAACGGTCAATATGTAGTTTAGGTTTACCTTGGGATTATTTACACTATGTGTAGAGCGGCTTTCGGAGGGATGACCAAAATCTGGCTTTAATAATATGTAAAATACCCCATACTATAAGGCATAAGCTTTACCTAACTGACTAATCATATTGTTTACTGATTTTGTTATTAATTGCCTGAGAAATGAACAATAGATCAATCCAATCGCTCCAAATTTGGACTTCTGGTTGGGAGGCTACAACATGTTTCTTCAAGAAACCTATATAATATTTTTGCTAATAAAACGTTTAATTATTATAATTCAGTTGGCCAATAGACACTATTGGGATTTGGGAGTTGAGAAACTCTCGGAAAATGGGGTTTAGCTGTAAATCCAATATTAATAATATTAAGTATTATATTAAGTATTATTAGCGCTATTGGACACTGTTCAATAGTCTAAATCAAAACACCGAATCACCTGAAAAATAAATCTAATTTGTATTAACCAAGGTCCGATAATCCTAGTTAACGGGTTTGATTGTAATTAGTAAAATGCTCAGGTATTCGTGTTACGAGTGTGGGTTTGGGACCAGCTCAATGAATGAACTGTTACTACACAAAGCTGAACAACATGAGGGGGACCTCACTAAAATCAGTCCTGAGTTACTTAAAGGTTAGTTTCACTTTCACTTAAAGGTTAAATTCACTTTCACTTTCATTGATACTCAAACTTTAGTTATGCATGAATTTCAATCGGTCCTCAAGTTATTTGTATGTTTGTTGCTTGTGATATGCTTGGAAACAGTTTGGACAAGTTTTGTTGAAAGCACGGAAAAGTTTCACGAAGCCTCTATTTAAATGCGAAAATTGCTGTGATAAACTTGTCTGGCCCTCAGTTTCATTTAAAACATACCCAAAGTATTTGTGAATAATATTGACTACCTGTCAACAGCAGTGTTCCAATTCCTAGACATTAAAACGTCTACAATATCTAAAAAGTTTGGCTCTCCCCCCTATATCAACAATAGGAAAACCAAAAATATTTCAAATATTCCAGATATTCCACTATATGTTTCAACTATTTTAACTATTTCAACTATTTCAGAGCTGCCCAAATCAGAGCGAGCTGCAATGCCTGACCTTGAGGAGACGTTGATACAATGTCCGGAATGCAAGGAGAACATTCCTCTCAACTCACTTAGTGGTCACATGAACCAGAAACACAAGCCTCTACACAAAGCTGTGAGCTAATTACCTAATCAGTTAATTATTCGATCATCAAATAATAGATTAAATAGAATAAGTAAATAAAGTCAAATTTTATACAGAAATTTATTGGTGAATATTTAAGTCAGCTATATAAGAAACTATAGATGATGCTGTAAAAGAGGCAGCTAAATCAGATCATTATTAGAAGTACACACCTAATTAGCTGCTTAGTTAATTATTTGATCATCAAATTTGGTAATATCAATTACTGATTTGAGAAGCAAGCTCACGTCGATCAAATCACATACCATGACCATGGTCCCCTTGGAAGTGCAAAGGTGGCTAATATTATCGCTACACAAGCATTGAAAACTCTTACAACACCGATGTCAGACCACACATTGCTTCATGACTCCTTCATAACATTTTATATTATATACAGACCTGTTAGAGACCTGTTGAACTCTCTAGGGCTTCCCTGGCTCAACATCTAGAAATAGTATACACTGCGTGGTTGCTGTTCTGTCAATTAGTTAATTGGCTAATTGTCTAATTGATAAGTGAGCAGATTTGTTAAATTATATCAGGTACTTGTTTAGAGTGTCAACAGTAAGCTATCACTTATAGTTCACTTTTATTTCACTTTTATTTCACTTTTATTTCACTTTTATTTCACTTTTATTTCACTTTTATTTCACTTTTATTTCACTTTTATTTCACTTTTATTTCACTTTTATTTTACTTTTATTTCACTTTAGTTTCACTCTCCCACATTGCACAATGTCGATTGCCACCCCTCCGTAGGTTGCACAACTGAAAATGTGTTGCAAGCTTCTCCTCCGCAAGCTTCTCTTCTGCAGTGATTTCGTCATGCTTGTGAGGGTAGTAATTTAGCGACATCCCTCAACTAATGTTACATTTTAACTTATGACATCAAAATTTAACAAACTTTAGTAGCTTAGTAGTGGAAAATTTATTTTAATAAACCAGATACTTTATTTTTTTCACAAATTGGCCCCGTTCTGGAATTAGGGGTCAATCTCCTTCTTTGGTCATTTTCTGCTGATATCAGGTCATGCTTGCGTGAGTCACACCTTTACTTACTCAAAGTAGATATTTTGTGAAATTCTTCAATGACTGAGCTGGATTTGAATATCTTATGTTACACATTATTCAATAACTGTAACACAAAACTGTTATATAAAATGGTGGTCGTAAAAGTTTTTTTCACAAAATACATAAAATTGAAGGGGAAAAGTTACACACTTTATTTCCATAAAATTTTAATAATTATGTTGAAACAAGTAGAATATATTCATAGATTCATGTTGGCGCTTTTAACAACACTAGTCCCCCGTGTTTTCCTACATTATCTAATAAGTAGCAAACACTCACACACTCACACACACACACACACACACACACACACACACACACACACACACACACACACACACACACACACACCCACACACACACACACACACACACACACACACACACACACACACACACACACACACACACACACGTGTGGGAAATAGTGTGTTTACATTAGTGTTCAGCTAGACGGTGTGCAAATGTGAGAGTTTGTATTTACCTACTAGTGTATACTGTATATATTATCCACTGGTGACATGTGTGGGAGTAACCGTTGTTTAAATAGGGTAATATTGTAGCTTTTAGCTTTAGGTTGTTTTATCTGTTGTTATGAGTTTGTGATAGCATGTGTAGTGTGTTCTATTTAATAAGTGTATTAGAGGTAATGGTAAAATGTAGAGCTGCATTTACAGCTGTGGGCAGTATATTTTGTAGCTTTAGGGCATTTTAACAGGTAATTCCTTAATTCTGAGTGTTTGTCACAGAAGATGTGTGTGTGTATATTGTATATAATGTTGATTGAATACTATCAATTATTATCAATGTTATACAGGATACAATGTAATAAAATAAGGACTGAGATGACCAGAGAATGCCTTGTCACGTGACGATAACAATCAGCCCCCCTGGCCCCCCCCCCTCATCAGGGGACATCAATACACCCAGCTGATTAGAGGACTAATCGGGAAATAACATTGAGCCCCAAGATATAATGTATAGTGTATGATGTGTGTATAATATATAATAATGTTAGCCTGTTAACTGTTCACTGTACACTGTACAGTAACCCTGGGTGGGTGTAACCAGTGGCTCGTGTCGAGTGGGCACATTATCTGGGTGATTAGATAATTGTGTCATTAGCCGTGTAACTATAGTGAACCAGTGTAACAATGGTAACTAGTGTAACCCTGGTAACCAGTGTAACCCTCACTTTTATATTGTGTTTGACTCACTATCTAACTTTCCATTCTAGATAGTAGATAAGATCAAAATATCCAATAATATGCTTTTATATGCTAACCTAAAAGATTTATCAAACTTTAGGTCGTTTCCCAACCGGTATCCAAGTATATCTGCTCATAATACGTACTATTTTAATATACTATAATATACTTAATTATATTATTAAAATAACAGTTAGCTGCTTACAATATAATTGGGTGATTAGTGTGTGAGTGTTTGTGTGTATCTCTGCTACTTTTGTTTGTTTGTGTGTAACTCTGCTACTTTTAACTGCCATATTCTATTCTACAAACTTACAGAATCTTTTTTTTGTTTTATAGATCACGGTATATTATAGAGGTTCGACTGTAATATGTAAATTTATCGCGTCCTGTACAAATCTGATTTGCGTGTGAGTGGTCTTACACTCAAAGAAGATAACACACATGGGTGTAAGCTGATAACTCTTCTGCATCATTAAAAACGATAAGGCTGTTTTCTCGAATCAAATATGAAATTAAAAAGTCTGTGCAACCATTTAATTATAACTGTGATGATAAATAAATACACTTATAATGTATTATATAACTCTATTCATGAATAATGTTTTATGATTACTTGTTTCAGAGTCCAGGAAGGAAGCCGAAGTGTACAATCTGCACCGCTTTAGTAGAGAATAAACTAGAGCTGGCTGCTCATGTCAAACATCACGGCAAGGAGGACAACTGTTTCGCTGTACGTGACCACGTGACCACGTGACCACGTGACCACATGATCAGTGACCACGTGATATTTATCATCTTTAAAGAATATTTAGACTTTTGTAATGCGACCTTTATAATCAGGTGGTCTCTCAATGTCATTTGAAAGCGTTTTTGCTACCCAAATTCTAGTTTCCGACACTTCAAGTCACATAGATATTGTGGTGTAATGGCATGTTGTCAATCTTATTTGTTTTTCCTCACTTTCACCTTCACATATTCCTCCACCTTACACTAATTCTAACATCTCTGCACTTCAGTGCTATTTCTGCGCACAAACCTACACATCCATTTCCTCTCTCCAACTCCACACTACCAACTACCACGCTAGTTTGGCTGCAAGGCGTCATTACAAGTGCACTCAGTGCGCAAGGGAGTTCAGGTTAGTTTCTATTTCTCTTTAGAAATCTATTTCTGTTTTTAAAATTCATTAAATTTTATTTCAAAAATCTAGTTCCACCATTCAACTTTCAGTAATGAGTTTAACTTTACTTTCACTTTAACATTTTTATTTAAATCGTTTATTTAAATATGTTTATTCAAACTGTTTAAATTATTTCTCCAACGTAAATTACTTCTCCGTACAAATTTCACTTTCACTTTCACTAACACCCTCTTCCCACAGTGGCAGTTACCACCTGATACGGCACGTAAAAACAGTCCATGAACAGCGCCGAGATTACCAGTGTTCCAAGTGCGACAAGTCATTTGTAGAGCTGCACTGCCTGAGGAGGCACATCAGGAACATTCATAACCTCATCCGGGACCACACCTGTCCTGTGTGTAATAGAGGTGAGCACTTTCTCTTTTATTAAATCTCTTTCTCTTTTACTAAATCTCTTTCTCTATTACTAAATCTCTTTCTCTTTCTCTCACTATTTTTCTTGTTTTTTCTCTCTAAGGTATTTTCCGAATATCTATAAATTTGGTTGAATTGCAAGAGGTAAAACAATGTTAGAAGATACGAGATGTCATATGTTCAATAAATACTTTCAATTTCCCTTTCACTTCCCCACATATTCTATTGGTATAAATTTCAGGGTTCACGTACCGTCAGGACATGTTTCGTCACATCATGTCAGTTCACCAGAAGATTCGGGACATCAAGTGTCCACTTTGCAGCGAAAAGTTCTATCACAGGTACATTTATTTTAATTTCAAGATTCAAGCTATGTTTTAAAAAAAGATCACAAAAATCGTTTTAATTACTTTACTGGTATTACAAACAATTATTCATTAACATAATTAACATAATTAATTATCTAACCACGTGACATCCCAGGTACTTTATCGGCCACGCTTACCGCCAACACGACCTAAAGGTAAAGTACAGAGACGGTATCTGCTACATATACGATGATGCGGGCAACGTTATCCACAAAATCACATGATTTTAAATCTGATAATCAACAAATGTCACGTGATATCACGGGGTCATTGTCCCTACAGTTATCACGTGACCACATCCTTCTAAAAACATTCGTCTTACTTATATGTTGGAAATCGGACGTTAGAATAACAGTTCAAGTTAATGTTTTAACAGTTCAAGTTAATGTTTTAACTTTTAACACATTAACAGTTCAAGTTAATGTTTTGATTGCTCAATTAGCCCGCCGTCTCTTTTTGGGGAGTGATCGGGAAAGAGAAACTTAAAAGAGAAACTTAGATTAAACTTAAATTAGACTTAAGTGAAAGCCGTGTTATGTCAAGATGGATGACAAAATGCACGAATGACCCCATCCTTAGGATAATTCAACGAAAGTGTTTTTTAAATTGAACAAATAAAGTCACAAATTTTTTAAAGGATCCGTACAGTAGAATTGTGAACTGAATTAGTCTCATACGTAAGTATACAATGAACTTCAAAGTTTCGTAATTAAAGTCGTTCTTAGAATCAAATTTTAAGATTTGGTTCAACGCTACATTAGTTGAAAACTGTGTGTTTTTCAAGTTAAAAATGTGGCGTTATCAATTGTTTTTTCGCTGCGCTTTTATCCTAATTTAACATAAGAATACAAATTTTCGGTTTCGTATAGTATATTATAGATTTAGTTAAAAATTGATTTAAATGATTTTAGCGTATTTTAGATTTGAATTTGAGTCGAAAATTTATGTAAATTCTGCTATCAAAAAACAATGAAACCAATGTATTGATTATTAATGTTAATGTTGATCAATCCAATTCAATTAATTAACGAACAATTTGTCCAACAAATGTGAAAAAGATTTTTCTAGATGAAATTATTAATATCGATTTTGATTCTGAGGATAAGATCTATTGCACATATTATAAAGATGGTGATTTGAACGTTTTTCTTTGGAGCACATGTATGAAATGTAGCAAAAATACAGTTGGTCCTGCATGTAGATTTGCAACATTATCGAGGTAGACATTATCGATACGGCGGCCGATTTAGGCGGGATTAATTAAATTTGATACGCTCGTAATTAAATCGGCAATATCGCATTAACGATAGGGCAATGTTAAACGTGCAAATTTAATCCCCCTGATCCCGTAAAAGATTAGTTTATTCTTTAATGAGTGATATTATAGAGGAGACTTTGTTAATATTATTTTATGTAAGCTGGAGCTATGCTGTAGAGGTTAATTTTATACAATTCACGAGTTTCTCTTCTCATTTTTACTCCTAATTTTCAGAGAGGTGAGTAAATACCTTACCCACCTGACGACTCTTAATTAATGTGTAACACTAATAATATAACTTTATTCTAAAGAAGAGGTAGACTGAATACAAGGTGGGCCAAAATTGAATTACCATAAAATACCGTTTCCACAGCACTCGCTCCCAGTTACTTGACCCAAACCACGTAGCTCCACGTAGCCCTAATTGTGGCCCACCCCACTGGCTTCGTATTACAACACACACCACATGTCCCGTCACGTGGTGGGAGAAATGACCGGTTTATTAGCCCCCCCCCCGCCAGTCCCTGACAAAGGCACCATTTGGGCACTGCACATTTTGCAATCTCACATTATTTCTTATCGCAAATTACACATGACAATGCAGAACATATACGGCAAACATTCCAGCACCCACGTGCCTCTGATTCCATTTCCCAAGAAAACCCCTCTCCCGCCTTATGTTGGATACCACGACCGAACCTCTCACAACATCTCGGCATTATTCTCGGCTTTAGTGGTGAAATATTAGACCTTAGTTCAGGGTTCTTAGTTATCAGCCAGTCGGAAGACATTCCGACGTGTTCTAAATCTGATCACGTGAGGAACACGTGGTTTGTCACGTGACGTGGAAATGTTAATCACCTCCGTCATGTAATGTATTTTAACGTTTTGTAATGCAACGTAAAATTAAAATTACAAAATTCTTCAGTGCGAAGTTATCAGGTGATCAACTACCATTATCCTTTACAAGTTTACAGTACTTAAAACTATCAGTACTGTGGAACAGGGTTACATTGTCACGTGGGTCAGGGTTATATAATATATTGTCAGACACTTGGCTGCTGACCATGCCGGGGTCATTAACTTGACTAGTGGACTTCGTCTAACATTATAGACTTGGCAGGAACATGATGAATTTTTTGACAGGAATTTCACTAGTTGATTTATCATAATACAGACAAGTTTGTTTTGGCACGTGACTATTATACTGGGAGTCCATTGGTCGTCATGGTGACACGTGACTGCTATACTGAGAGTCCATTAGTCGTCATGGTGACACGTGGCTGCTATACTGGGATTTCATCGGTCGTCATGGTAATCGGTTAATGTGACTTGTCAAAACTAACTGTTTACATTACCTCAATATAACGTATTGCTTAAAAATGGACGGGAAATTAGTTGTAATAGTCTAAAATCAGCACAGTTTCTGTCGTGATCACCTCTTCAGACATCTCCACAGATTGTGATTATCTCCACAGATTGTGATTATCTCCACAAACAGTATACCACATTGTACAGTACGAAGAGCGTCAATACATCTTACTCTTGAAAATACTCTAGCTCTGTGTGGTGAATAATATAACACTTTTCTCTGGCTAAGTGCAATTACTTGTTACCTGTGGAGGAACTTACCTCCGTTACATCACTCAGACCAAGATATCGAGTATCTCCTTATCAAGATATCGAGTATCTCCTCCGAGTATCTCTAATCTCCTATCTCCGCCGGGTATTTTATCAGTGTTTTTCTTCCAAAACGCTGAATAACAAAGGTGGAAAACTATTGAGAATTCCCCATTATGCATGCTCTGAAAAGTAAGTAACATGTCGGATATTATGTAGTAAGTAGTTCATGAGATGATCTAATTTAAACCTGTCATGCAAACACTCTCCAATTATTTGTTTAATTTAATTAGGTCTGGTTGTAATATGCATCTTCACAATTGATTATTAATTAGACGGACACCTTCACAATTGATCACTAATTCGGTAATTCTTCTTAAAAGGCGTCTCGAATTAGCAAGCGTTTTACCAGCCCTAAAATGCACATCCCATAAAATTAACCACTTCAATGATTATCCAAATGAAATCCCCCTCCCTCTCCCAACAGCACTACTCACCATACTAGCTACATTATACCGTAAACTGAAGCACGCTGCAGCTCAGTTTATCCCTGCCCAACAGTTGTAATACTGGACACTAACTGCCCTCATCAGAGCTGAACAGCCCCCTCTCAATTTCCGTCTTTCGACACCCAACATATCCTACACACACGCACAGTGCACACACAAATACACACACACACACACACACACACACACACACACACACACACACACACACAAACACACCATTTCTGCTGCGTTACGTGTACTCCGCGTGTACCGAGTAATATAACCCGTGTTTAACGGCGATATTTCAGCGCTTTATAACGCTTTATTTCTCCCCTCCCCTGCCTCCCCCTCCCCTGCCTCCCCCTCCCTTCCCCTGCCTCCCCGTTATTTGAACGTTAACTCTCCCGGCGGGTTAGCTCCACACAATCCAGTATGTGGGCAAACTGGATCACCAGAGGCACAATTATTCCTTATAGGGCCATCGTAATAATTACTGCAGCACACACAGAGGGCCGGCTCTGACCACTGGGAGGGAAGATGGGCGCCCACGTGACCTCACGAGGCTGTCAGGAGAGGCTCACGTGGGGTGGCACGTGGGGTGCCAGGGCGACGCACGTGCCTGCTAAAATGAAGGGAGCACGTGGGGGTCACGTGTCTGTTATTTAGAGGCAACTCTTTATGCAGGCCGGAGTAAAGTAGGTGGAGATATATATATAAATATATATATTCTATATATGTGGGTTATATATTATATGCGCCCTGGGGTTGTAGCAAGGGGTCCTTATCAGGGGATAACTGGATCATTTCATTAGGGGAGAAGAGCCTAGGGCTATTAGGAAGAGTAGTATTTATTAATACACACCACACACACACGTTCCCCCGCTAGCTAGCTAAGGTATCTTATTATATATTGTGGGAGGGGTGAAGGAAAATATATAAATTTAATTTGCGTTTTTTTTTCGGGTGCAGGGGCTGAGGAGATAAGATATTTTGGTGGTGTTTTCTTCGGGGGAATTTATGCTTGCAAATGTGATTTAAACAAGCAAAGAGAGAAGGCGGTGAGTTTTGTGAGGGAAGAGATAGCAGAATCATAATGTATTGTCTGGTATATAAGTTATACTACCGTGTGGCCGGCCTGGGATATTTTAGATAGGTCACGTGACATTGGACACGTGATTTGATGTTTCAGATAAGATTTTGCTGGGATGTTATATTTTGTAAGTGTTAGGTATTTTGTATGTGATAGGTTTTAGATAAGATGTTGGTTACTAAGTTAATGAAACCCAAACACTGGTGGGTATTACTTGAAAAACAGGACCAGATTATACGGCCACTAAAATAAAAAAAATGGCCAGAAAACCAGAGTTATTTAAAAATTCGGAGGAAATCTTGAAAACCTCTATTTATACAGTGTACCTGAAAAGTGTGTAAAATGTAAAATTATTTAATTGTTCCTGAATTTGCTTGGCTTCTTTCTCCCCCGAGGAAACAGGACTCCGACTAGTTTCTCAGAACACATTAAACAGGTGATGCCCTTATAAGGAAGTAACTCAGAACACATTAAACAGGTGATGCCCTTATAAGGAAGTAACTCTGAACACATTAACCTGTAACTCGTGATTTGTTAAAGGCCCTCCTGCATGAATACCAGTGTAATTTGAGATACATTTATACACATAATCCACATTCGATGCATTTATCTCTGAAATTTTGCATTCAGAGACTTGTCGAAGTTTTTTTGACATATGTTCGGTATTTTGGGGTTGGAGCATAGATAATGTCGAACCGGTGCTTTTTTTACTACGTTGGTATTTTAATACTGACTGATCGGTAGCCGCGTCGGAAATTTGAGAATTTCTACAGGCAGAAAATGCCCATAATTATTTGATTTTTGGCGTTTATGATTTATCGAAAATCAGCCCTAATGTAATCCCACGAGAAAATTAAAATACATCATGTACTTTAATTTTTGATAGAAATCTGAAAAATTTTCGGAAAAAAATATTAATTTAGAAGTAAATCTAATTTATTTATTCACCAGTCACTAGTCAGTGTCGAGTGAAAATCTAGAACACAAATAAACGTGACTTTCATTCAATTGAATATGTAGCGTATTTTAAATTATATGTTGTTCAGAAAATATTATTAAATCAAACATGTTTGGGCTTTGGCATTAGTTAGAATAAACAAAAGATGGTCCACATATTTCGTCGGATTTTTTCAAAATGTTATATTTTTTTCAAAATGTTAATGATTTATAGCTGGAACAAAAGGGCAGAAACACAATTGAATAGCTAGATCGGACGACCCCAACTCACAATAATCTGTAGTAAGGGACATATAATTTACATTTTATATTATTCCAATTTAAATTATAAGGGGTCGTTCTCATATTACGCTATCACTTTTTGGCCAACTTGTAACCCCCCCGCCCCTCTCTGTAATCAGTTTTACACACGCTATTGTGTTAAAATTACACATTTAACCATTTAGCAACCGCCTCCATCACCCTCAGTGATTACGTAAGATACGAACGACCCCTCAGAGATATAGTGATAATTTAGAAGAGCCGTTTACCAATCAATATTGTCGTTTACCTAACATTTGTCTCAAAATTGGGTGGCAGATTGGTGACGTCATAAAATCATACTGAGATTTTTCTGATTCTAAGCGGTTATAATGTGTCGTTTTCAATTATGTGTTTAGTTCTTAAAGATTACACATTACGGATTTCAAATCATACACCAATTTACGGATTACAAATCATACATCACATTTCACCCTCGGGATTAAGATTTAAAATCCTCTGGTATTTCTTCACCAATAACTGAATTGATCATTAAATATCATATTTAAATACAAATTCAGTGGTTTCCTCTGGAAATTCTTTTAAAAACAGTTGACACATTTAACTTCTCTGATAATTTAAACATTCGCTCAATCAATAAGTGTAAGACTGATAAATCCACATCATCATTACAACTACACTTCTTATTCATAGAAGATCTCCACAATAACACAGCCATTATTCAGACGAATAACCCTCATCTAATTAGTATATAATTACCGTTTAATTACTGACA